CAATTGCAATAAAAAATAAACAAATACAAGACTTTAAATTTTTTACCTGTCTTAAAACTCAGTTGTTCTTTTAAGGTCACTACATCCATATTTTCTTCTTCCTTATTTTTCTCGTATGACAATCTCTTACATGTAATCTTCTGAAGAATTAACTGTCTTTTAACATTTTTTTAAATCATATCATTTCCTTTTTTAAAGCAGGTCAAGCCCTAAGTCTTACTTCCATTATGAATTCATATCAGTATGGAAAGAGATGGGCATTACCCTGATTATTGCAGTTACTAGGATGAGGAAGTCATGATCTTCATCTCTGACTCTTAGAGTCAAGTGGTAATAAAGAAGAAATTTTAATATATTTTTTTGAGGATGGTGAGGGCTTTCCAACATCTAAACTGTGCTCTCATGTTTGGGAAATTCCCTACTCTTAGTAATTTGTAGATACAAAATATACATATACTTGTTTTCCCAGCCTGCCTTGTACCTACACTAGGTACATCCAATCAAAAGCACTAGCCTTGGACTTCATATGAGGAGCTAGTGACACAGGAAGCAAGAGGTGGTGCAGCAGCAGCAGCCTTCACTTGTGCTTCACTTGTGGCAGCAGTGACATCTCATAGCCATGATTCTGTGTGATGGTGCAGGCTCCTTGCTCTTGCATATTTTGGGGGCCTTATTCTCCAGCCTTCTCAATGATTCTATCAGATATCTATTATCCTTTCGGTAACCCGGCAAAGAGATTATGGTGAGCTTTATGAAGGATAGGGGCATTCTTAAACTTCCAATCCACATCCGTTAACATAGTACTAAACCAAGAATAGTAATTTACTACTTCTGACTGTTATAACACAGAATTTAATTTTAGTTCTTTCTCTCTAGATTTAATAAGCAAAAGCTGATTTTTAGAGGCTAAACTTAAGAACATATATGTATTTTTCTTGTTGACAGTAACAGCTTTTATTTTAATTGGTTTATGATTGTCTGATAATTTATACAAATTTCCCCTTATTCCATCTCACCTTGTTTTACCAGTGCATTTAGTCACATATAAGTGTTACAAATTCTCCACTCCAAAATTAATGCTTAAATGTGACTTAACACACAAACACATACCATTAATTTAGTAAATCAAATAAATGAGCATAAAACATAATATGCCTAATATAGACATATTTCAATCTTCATTAACTTTGTATCAGAAAGTTTACATATTTATTTGATAAATCCTTAGTATGTGCATTCACGTGCCAGGCACTAGGGTTATATAAATGAATAAATTAGAAAAGATCCCTGCTCTCATGGAGCTTACCGCCTAGACAATAAGAAGGCAACATAAGTATATATTATGTGTATATATATAATTATATTATATATAAATATATAAAGATAAATATATAATATAATTTTGTATAATGGTAAATGAATAAATGCTATGAAGAAGAATTGGCATAAAACCTCTAATAGGAAAGAGTCGTCTACCTTCCAGGAAACAAGGAAATCTTCCTAAAGAGGTAAGATTTATACTGAGTTGTGAATAAAAACTACTGTACAAAGAAATTTAAAAATTGCATTCCAGAAAGAAAAAAAATAAAATGCAAAAATTTGATGCAGGGACACTCTTGGTGTGTTCAAGGAACAAAATCAAGACTAAATTAGGGAACCCTTGTGCACTGTTGGTGGGAATGTAAATTGGTGGCAGCAGCAGTATGGAGGTCCTTCAAAAATTAAAAATAGAACTAGCATGTGATTCAGCTATTCTACTTCTGGGTACTCATCCAAAGAATGAAAAAACACTAACTCAAAAATATCTATGCACCCTATCCCCATGTTAACTGCAGCATTATTTACAAGAGCCAATACATGGAAACAACCTGTGTTCACGGATTTCATGGATGCATAAATAGATAAAGAAAATGTGGTACACACACACAATGCAATATTATTCAACCATAAAAAAGGATATCTTGCTACTTGTGACAACATGGATGAATCTTGAGGGCACTATGCTAAGTGAAATAAGTTAGATGAGAAAGACAAATATACTTATATGTGCAATCTTATTAAAAAAACAAAACAAAACAAAGCTCATTGAATGGACTGGTGGCTACCAGAAAAGGGGGTGGAGAGTAGGAAAAATGGGTGAAGAGGGTCAAAAGGTATAACTTCTGATTATAAAACAAATAAATCATGGGGATATAATGTATAGCATGGTGACTGTAGTTAATAATACCGTGTTGCATATATTGAAAGTTGCTAACAGAGTAAATCTTAAAAGTTCTCATCAAAAGAAAAGAACTATAACTATGTGTAATGACAGATGTTAACTAGACTTATTCTGTTATTTATTTTACCATATATACCAATATTGAATTGTTATGTTGTATACTTAAAACTAGTATAATGTTATATGTCATTACATTTCAATAAAAAAAAAAAAAGAATCAAGACTAGACTGTCTGGATCACAGAGAGCATGCTAAAGGCAGATGAGAAGTGGGCTACATGAGGCAGGAAGAAAGTAGACCAGGTAGCATGTGGTAGGCCTAGTCAAGTCATTTGATCTCATTCTAAGTGTAACTGGAAGCAAACTGGTAAGATTTATCTTTCAGAAAGAACCTTTGCCAACAGGATATACTCTTTGAGAGCAAAGGTGGAAAGAGAAACCAGTTAGGAAGCTAAATCAGGAATCTGATTTTGCCCTATAGAAAATCTTATTGCTGCCTCAAAATTCATGTTATCAATTTAGCGACATAACAATGATTTATAACTCTAGTCTTATAAAATTTTCAACTGTAAGAATTTTGTTCTGACAACAAACATAATTTGTCCTACTTGGCTTTTTTCCCAAAACTATTTACCCTACACCATGAAACATCAGCTTTGAGTTGGTTGCTATGACTTAGGGTCATCTTCCTATCGCTAACAGGTTAAAAGATCTCAAAAAAAAAAAAAATAAGTTTAAAAAAATTAATATTAGTGAGGCTTGAGACATGCTTTCTCTATGAAATTATTTATTTAATTTTAATTATATTCAGTGAATTTAATCCAGTACTAAACTGACCTATGTTTACCAATTTCATTCCCCAAAAGCAACTCCTCACATTAAATTTTCTGTATGCTTTGCAAAGCGAGAACTAAAAAAGCACACTCAAAAAGAAGTGAATAAGGATAAAAAAAAAATTTAAATTACAAGTAAAATTTTCATTAAAATTTTTAGAAAACAGATCTGTCAACTCATTGAGAGTTTCTCCTTTCAAGGGAGAAAGTCAGATCATCTGAATTTTGTTGTTCATTAGTTTACCTCATATTCAAGTTTATGACTTTTTACTGCAACTGAAAAGTAATGGAACAACTTCAAATCTGAGAATTTTGTAGAACATATATCATTGCAATATTGTTGGTGCAGAAGTTAGGAAAGAGGAAGAAGAACAGGAAAATGAGAGCAGTGGAGCAAGAGAGAAGACAGACAGCAGATGACTTGAATAGCAGATTTGGGACAGCACATTTAAAATTCTAAGCCAAAAAACAACACACTGATGACAAGTTTAATTCTATCGATCTTAACAAATATACTCTAACCTACCATTTCGGCCATTTTGTTTTAAAGTATTTGCAGAAAGCTGGATAGTGCTTCCATGACCCATGGTTTCTGGAAATTTTAAGTCTTCTAAGTTTCCTTCTGTACTCAGTCTTGCAACTTCCAATTCTGTTAATGTCAAAGAGACGTCAATGCTTATTGAGAAACATTACAAAGCTAATTTCCTAAATCAGTGAAATAGTTCTGAAATCAAAACACTGGAATTAATGTTATATCTGTCATTTTTTACAGTAGTTCAATCTTTTATTTAGAAAGTATTCCTTTTGGTATCTTATTTTTTTTAAATAAAGCAAATAAAAACTATTAAAATCAGGTAAATAAGAATACAAATGTATCGGTTATAAAGCCTAAAATGTAAAACTCAAGCTCAAATCCTTATACTTTGTTACTGACTTTAAGATTATTTTCAATATATTATCATTATTTTACAAATTAAGTAAAAAATCTTTTTATAATCTAGAGCTGAAATATTATAGAAATTGATCTATCTTTAAATGTAATAAGTTTGAAACAGCTTTATCAAATCTTCTGAAATAAAGCTGTCAGTTACAACCTTATACACAATAAAAATAATTTATATTCTTTATGAGCCAATAACATAATTGTCAAAAATTGTTTTACTGCCTTTACTTAAATGACTAATTTCTTTATAGTATGTAATTAAGAAACACTCTAATGGTAACTGAAATGATCCTTAAGTCTTGTATTAGGAGAATAAAAATTTAAATAGTATGATACCTACATATATACTTAAAAAAATCTCTCTGTAAGTGATCACAAGCTAATGTATCTAATGTTAGACTATCCTAAGGAGGGTAACATGCATGATTATGAAGACCCTTTTAAGCAATGACAAGTGATATCCTCCCAATTATAGAAAACTAATAACTTCAGTGAAATAAAATGTCACTCATAATATTTAAGCCACCATAGATACTTTTTTCTTTTCCTTCTTATGCTGTGCAAGGCTCTGGCCCTTTTGTATTAACAAAGGCCACTTACGAATATTGTCTGTGTTCTCCCTGACAATGTCAGTCTTCAAAAGGTTATCAGCCAGCACAAAAGCACTTTCCTCCACAGTGTCAAGCAACATGGTGGCTGCACGGAGTTGATCACTTGTAGTCAGGTCTCTCCACGCATTCAAAGCTTGTGGCTGAAGGAGGTTGTTAACTGTCTCGACCATTGCCTACAAAAGGACGAACAGAATGACAGAGGTCTCTAGTGAATCTACAGAGCTGTCAGAAATCCAGGTGTACATGTTGCCCAGCAAGTAAGGATCAGCAGTGTGCATGAGTTCAGTATTGTCTCAGCCTCCCCTGTGACATGCCGCAGTGGAAGCATTTATTATTTTGTTCTGTAAAACTCTAGCTGAGAATTTGCAAGGCAAGAGACAAACTTGCTTTTGTTTTGAAAGACAACAAATAGAGCCATGCTTGCTTCTTAGAATCAATAGCAATGGCTTAAGTAAGACTATAATCACGGCTTTAAATTAGTTGGCTGGGGAAGTGTTGGCAAGTAATTTAAACCCACGCTTTTATCACATCACTCACAATTTTTTTTGGTCTATGTATCACCATAAAACTAGATGTGGAACACAACAGAGATTAAAAGGATAACTAGAGACAGGACAATATAAGAATTTGTTGCCTGTATGTTGAGGACTCCCTGAACAAATCAATTTTTTTTTTTTCTTATCCAGCTAGTAAAATGTCAGAGTGGGGAAAATATCAAAGCATACATACTCCCAGGGGCTTTGGATATGTTATGTGTAGAGAGAAACTTTCATGCTGTTTACTATTGGGAGAGGGAGTAAACAGTTGGAACTTGCTACTTATGGCCTTCAGGTGTTTTTCTTTAAAAGGAATCGGCAGTAGGTACATTCAAACATAGAGATAAAGAACCACATTTCATATTGCTTCATCCAAAAGAATCATCTCTGTAGTTACAATTTATATATTTCCTGTGGTTAGCTTTATACTGTAGGTTACAAAGAAAAAGCAGTTCTCCCAATAAGGTCTTAAGGTTTCATTCAGAGAATTGCAAAATAGAGAAACACAACATTTGAAATGTGAAAGTGATCATCCCTGAACACTTTGATTATGAAATATCCATATTATCCAGAAACAAAGTTGAATAAACAGCCAACACAAGCACTGCATAGGCAGCACACGGATGTTTTAAAACAGAACTCACGTTATTGACACGTTGGTAGAGGGATAGGGAAAAATTGGACAAATATCTACTTCACTGCAGTGTTTTTGTTCTTGCTGGTGCTTTTCATTGTAACCAAGTAACAACTGTTAAAAATTCAGCTTCATAATGAAACACCTTGGTTGCCAATTAACAACAGCTTCAAAAATTAATTTGCTTTTTGATAAAAATTGTTTTTCTTGATATCTTTCCCAGCTATTCCAAGTTCTGGCCAAAAATCGACTTCACTGGACTTTTATGTAAAATAGTCCTACTTACAACCTGAGTACTTTGCATCATTTAAAAAAAGAAAAAAAAAATCTCTCATGAGTTTAATGACTGGACATTTTCATATAGTGTGCTTAGCTCTGTCATTTGTTCTGAGCTTAAAGCATGACCTAGAAGCCAAATAAAAGCATCTCCGGATCACAACAAAATGATCTGCTTTTCAGGAAGTTCTCTATAGGGGTAATGTCAACAGGATATAGCAGAAAGGTGGTACCAAATAGAAAACAAAAAAAAAGTTTAGGTATTTTCTAAAGCCAATAGCACAAACCTCTTGAGTTCAAAGTATTCTTTCTGGGATTAGATAATCTTCTGAATTCATTATAAATGCTCTGAAAAATCTCACATGCAACAGAAATTATGTCTATTCTTTAAGGAGCAGCCATTTTAGCATTAGTTAATAGTCTTACATTGGTTAATTTAAAATTCACCTCAGGGAACATTTTTTGAGGATAATACAGTATTTCTGTTCTGGCCTTTATTACTTTTAATTTTTTAAACTTAAAAAGTGGAAAGGAAGAAAAAAGAAAAAGAAACAACTATGATCAATTCTGAGAATGTTCTAAATAGAAACTTTTTATAAGAGATGGCTTCAGCTAAAATACCACATCTTTAAATTGGTAGCAAATGAATCAAAGGCATCCCTTATTAATTAATCTCAGTTTTGTAACTGAAAATGTCTAACATGCAATATTTCTTCATAGTTATAAATTTTGAGTACATTTTCAACAATTGCTTCTTCCCAAAAGTCTTTAGAGAAGCTTTTTATTAAAGCTCCCTAAATTTCCAAGTTTATCATAGAAATAGGAGACTTAAAATATGGTCCTAAAACCTGGGTAGGTAAAGACAAATCTAACAGTCATTTATTCTCATAAAATCACTTGTTATGATTTAAGTATAATTATAAGGAAATGTCAACACAAGGCTTGAACAGACAAAATTCTGCAGTATTAAAATCAGAAATGTCAGATTTAGAACCATATCAGCTAAGTTTGAATCTGGACTCTGTCACTTACTAGCTGTGTAATGTTGAGCAATTTACCTAACTCGTAAATTAGAGATGATAATATAATATTTCATAAGGTTGCCTGGCTCATAATAAGTGCTTAAAGTATAATCTCATCTTCACTTTTATTTGTTATCAAAGTCCAGTGTGAGAAGAAAAGAGGTCTTCACTGAATGAAGCACAAGTCATACCTGATGACTGCAAAATACTCACATGGAAGAGAAATTTGGAAGGAATAACTTCTGCAATGCAATCTTTATAAACAGACCTGTTACAGAACTTAATTACTAAAAACTATACTACATGAAGCTTTGAGGAATAGGAGAGTAGAGGAACATGTGTATTAAATAGTTCATAATGTGTGTTCTAGACATTTGAACAAACTGACCTATTTCCTGCTAATGAGACAGCACAATTAAGTTAATTTTGATAACAGCTGTATAATTAATACAATTTGTTTAAGCTTTCCAAAGGTTGCTGACATGTTGCTATTACCAGTTTAATGAAGGCCAAATAGTCACAACGCCTCGATGATAAAAGGACATTTATATTTTGTTTTCTTTATTACACTTATGCATTTGTTATTTTACCCACAAATGATGACATCTGATCATAAATTTTTTTTGGTCAAACTAGTTATTTGAATTATTTTTACAAGGCCAACAACATCTCTTTAAAAACAGGTAGATTTTCATTTTATTTATTTACAAAGAAATGAGCTTAACTATACTTAGAACCAAGTTGAACAGTTGAATGGGAAATGTACAATGAATTTGATCAAAGTGAATTACTAAGACATCACTTTAATATCTATCTAACAGCTGTCACTGATTTCTCTTTTCTATTATATTTTCTTGACCTAAAATTTATATTCTAAAGTAGAAAAAAAATAAGATTGGTCTTGAATTTATATTAAAGAAATTTACATTTTCACCACTATGCATCAATCCAGGATTGAAAAAAAATAAAATCACCTAATAGTTTTGACAGGTACAGACTGAAACCCAAAATTTTGAAAAGTAAATTTAATCAATGATGTCCTTGCTGGAAACTAAATGCTAACTCACTTCACTATTTTTTTTTTTTTTTAATTAATAGAAACTAAATCAGAGTTGGCTGCTGGAAATTTGCATTCTAGTTCTGCCACTAAATTTCAGTGTGCCTTTGGACAAATTTGTTTTCTAACCAGTCAACAGAGTTTAAACTACATAAGAAAGTAAGTCTCATGTTTCAAATTGAGACTAGATAGAGGCATCCTACTATCGGATAACTCTTTTCATTATACAATTTATGGACTAGACTTTTGACTCTTTCTAGAACTCAAACATAAATTAGAAAGTGTCAAAAGTCACTTAGATTCATACCATGATCATGGATTTACAATGTCCTTCTGAATATATATTGGCATTATACAACATTATTGGACCACTTATCATTATTCAGATCTTAAGCAAATTCATTTGACTAGTTTTACTCACAGCATATAATTGTATGTTTGTTAAAAGATGTTATAAATTATATAATTATACTTGATATATTTCAAAAGGGAGTATTTAATTATGTGTTATAACTACTATGAAAATTTTGGGGAAATAACAGCTATATATCCTTCCAATAACAACTTTTGCCATTATTTCTAGGAGGGTGTGCTTGTGAAATAGCGTAGGATTCCTTAGCAAGAATACACAAAAGGATCAATGGTGTGAAACATGTCAATGACACTTCTAACCCAGGAGAGCAGTAAATCTCAAACTAGGAAAGCAGAATCACCTGGGGAATTTAGCTATCCCTCTTCTTTCATCTGAAAACAACCAAAATAAAGATCCAAATTTAATGACTGCCTCATGAAGAGATATATAACTTTTCCACTATTGTATTTTTTTCTAAACACAAGCTTTTTAATCATGAGATCATCATCCGGGTTTTAACTCAAGTTATCAACTGCTCAGAGTTCTTCCATTATCAGCATACCTAGGGAGAATCTCCCCACCCTTAAATCTATTACCTGATTTGTTTTCTTTGTATCATATAGCATTATCTAAAGCATCTATTTATTTACCCAAACTACTATTTTAGATCTCTCACTCAAGAAAAGTTCTGGCTTTCTGACTAGGCCATGATGTTCTAAGAGAAGACATCTTGTTCATTTGTGTTTTCCCGGGTAAATTTTAGTGCCTTGAGACACTTCGGGTATGCAATAAATGCCCATTAAATAAAGATAACCTACTTTTACTATCAAATCATGAATGACCTCATATACAATAGGGAAACAAAGCACCACCTTCCAGTTCTACAATGTTTTGCCATGTCTCCCAAGAATTCTGAGAGAATAAAGTGCTCAGATATCAGTATGTTCTGCAAGGAAAAAAGGCTGAATTTGGTGGAATTAAGACACTCAGAGTTTAAAAAAAAGAAAAGAAAAAGCAGAACCACATGTTATTGTAGTGAATGCAGACCACTAAGCATAAAAATATATTCCATAAAAATCTTTCCAAAATGTTTTTAAGTGTAGCAAAGCTCACTTTCAATGTAATTAAATGAAGGTTTTGTTAAATATGTATGATATGTATGGTATGCAAAAAACTAGGAATTTCATTGTTGGATGAGGTTAGAAAACAGAAGGAAAACATGGAATCTGCCCTCAATTTGCCTATGATACATGGCAGAAGGTAAGCACAAAATAAAGCTAAAAACTCATAGCATAT